AGTGTTGGAGGACTATATGTTCGCTTCCTAATTTTTGCTTGGAGAAAATTTTTTTTGGAATTTTCTGCATTTTTTGTCGAATTTGTGACTGTTATTGTTTCTTTCACGCGATTAAGATATTATATATCAGTTTCTCGAGAATAGACACTAGTGTTGGAGGAATATATTTTCGCTTTCCTCAACTGAACTTAGATGAACTCGGGTAAAAGTGTACAAAAACCAACAAAAAATTCCCAAAATTTCCTCAGTTGAGCTCAGGAGTTTACCTACGAATTCGGGTAGAAGTGTAATACAAAAATAAATGGTAATTTCCTCACCGTCATCACTACGCATATTCACAAACACATAAATTCACTTACCCGTAGTAGTCTTTCTCGATAGCGATGATGTTTCCCGAAAACCCTGTAAAACACAAATCAATTAAAAATCAATAATTTCCCTTCATACGTACATTGTGAAGATCTTCGCGTTGCTGCATTAAGGCGACTGTTTCCTCTTCCTCGCAATCTGTGGGGTTTCTCATTGTTGAGTACTCTACAATGCAAACCCAAGAGTTATTAGGAAATTATTATTTTTTTACGGAAAATTAGGGAAGTTTTTATCCCAATTTTTTTGTGAATTTGCGAATTTCGAAATCATCAGCGTAGATGAGCGAATTATAAAGTGCGCACCAAAGGGTAATGCAAATCTAGATTTCCGAAATTTCAAAATACGACTATAAACTATAAAATGCCTATAAAACGTCGGGGTCTATTTGGTTTACATCGTTATCATGTTTATTTTACTCGAAATTTTTTGAGCGCGTTCGGGGAAATTCCACTATTGAGTTTCACCCGTGATATGGAAAACACATTATTTCACACGTGAGCAGTGAATAACGCGTAAAACACGTGATTTGTTTTACGCGATTTGGTGTAACTCACTTCAACTCGCGTTTTTCACATATAGAATATTACACCACTTCACGTGAAAACGGGTGAAACTCCTTTGCATAGCGTTTTCATTAACACTGTGAAAAATTTTTCATCAATTCCAACATAGTTTATCAACTCACCATCGTCACTACTTCCCCTTGAGGAAGTAGAACTTTCTGAATCCGAATCTTCAATTGCTCGTTGACGTGTTAGACAAATTCGCCGAATTTCGCGTAGACACATTGGCGACTCCAAAATCAATCTGAGAGTAGAGGGGCAAAATTTTGCTAATTTTTTAGGAGAAAATTTTTGAGTTTTTTGTTTATGGAAAGAAATTTGTGGTTTTTTTTCTATTTTTTTTGTCGAATTCGTGACAATTATTGTTTGTTTTACGCGATGGAGAATCTCCATTGGAGATATCACGTATTAGTTGGCTTTCACAAAGAACAGTGTTGGAGTAGGAATATATGTAATCGCTTTCCTCAGCTGGGCTCAGATCCTTTTTTTCCACAAAAAATGAAATTTATGTGAAAATTTCGGTAAATTCTCGTTGGTTTCTGTACTGCACTTCTACCCGAATTCATATATAAACTCCTGAGCTCAGTAGTTGAGGTGAGCGAGCATATATTCCTACTCCAACACTGCTATTAAAACGACCATATCTTCCGCCAATACTGCTATTGATACTAGCATCAAAATCAACTTTACTTACCTCCAAAACGATGCGATCAAAGCCTCTCCTACTGGACCGCGATAAGCCTCTACTTTTCCCCGAAGAAAATGCAAATCCTGAAAAAAATTTCGAGGAAAAAATTTCGGAAAATTTTCGTTAGTTTTTATACACTTTCACTTCAAGTCGTGTGTGAATTCCCATGCGGAAAAATATGCAGACGAAAATTTTTAAGGAATTTCGGAAAATTCTGGTTGGTTTTTGGTAACTTTTACACTAAGATGAGTTATCATTTGAGGCGCTGTAAAATTCGGAAAACTAACACTCAGATTCAGAAAATTTTCCGAAAAATATGGGAAAAAATACATATTTTTCGACAGGAATATTCCAACACTTGTGGGAAAAATTTTCCTACAAATTTCCCGGAAAATATGCACATGTGTCGATGACAATATGAAAATTTTCAGGAAATTTCGGGAAATTATTGTTAATTTTTCGATACTTCTACCCTAAGGCCTATAACAAGTGAAAAAACCGAACATAAAAATTGACGATATCAGTTTTATTTTTTTTGAAGAAAAAACATGAAAATTCTGAGGGAATTTCCTGAGAAATTCTTATTGTTTTTTGTATATTTCTACTCAGAATCGTCGGTGAATTTCTATAAAGCATTACAAAGCTCAGCTGAGGAAAGTAATTTACTTTAAGTAAACATATATTTTCCACTTTTACCACAGATTTCGTAGATCGCACTGTTGGAGGAATATATGCTCGCTTTTCACAGGAGTTTTTATGCGAATTTGAGTAGTAGAAGTGTAACAAAAAACCGCAAAAATTTCCTCCAAGAATTTTCGATTTTTCCCACATTGGGTGTGATGCTCTCAGCAAGTGTTGAAATATTCCAGTCGAAGAATATGTATTTTTTCCCATATTTTTCGGAAAATTTTCTGAATCTGAGTGCTAATTTTTCCGAATTTTACAGCTTCTCAAATAATAACTCATCTTAGCGTAAAAGTTAACAAAAACCAACGAGAATTTTCCGAAATTTCCTCAAAATTTTCGTCTGCATATTTTCCCGCA